TATATTAAAATTTATAATTTTATTAAGAAATAATTTTTATTTTTATATTAAAATAAAGTTTATTAATTGTAGTTTAATATATAATTTTTTCAGATTTTTTAGATTTTTTCTAAAATATATGTTAAATTATAATTGATAAACTTTATTTTAATATAAAAATAAAAATTATTTTTTTAATAAAATTATAAATTTTAATATAGAAAAAATTTTTAATTTTCATTTATATTTTATTAATAAATTTAGTCTTTAAGTCATTACTTTTAGTTATCACTATATTTTATATTATAATATTTATAATATAATATAAATAAAAAAATAATTATATTTTATATTTTAATATTTATAATATAATATAAAAAACCAAAATAAAAAACTTAATACAAAATAGAAGTAAAATAATATAAATATAAATAAAAAAATTTATATTTTAAAAAGAAATATATATATAAATCAAAATTAACTTTTAAATCAGTTAAAATATATTATTTAAATATCTATATAATTAAATTATTAATTAAATTTTGTTTAAATTATTCAAAATTATTCAAGAATCAATATTAATATAAATATAATATATATAAATATTATTTATATTATTTTAAAAATTTAGTTTAATAGAAAATTAATATTTTATTTTTAAATAATATCAAGATTAATTTTTTAATTAGTTTAAAAATATTAAATTATTCAAAATAAATTATTATAAGTTTAGAATGATAAATTTTTTAATTAATTTATTTATTTATAATTAATTATATAATATAATAACTAAAAATTTCATATAATAATTAATATTGCAAAATAATATATAGTTTTTTGCTTATATTTTGAATAATAAAATAATACAAAATAAATATTATTTATTAATAAAATAAATAATTAATTAATTTTAAAATAATATATTATTATTATATAATTATTACTTTAAATATATATTTTTTTAATACATAATTCAAATAATATATACAGTGATCATCAAAAGTAATGCAACACTTAAATTTTTTATTAATTATAATTAGTAAAAAATTTAAGTATTGCATTACTTTTGATGACCACTATATAATTAAATCTCTTTATAATTACTATACTTGAAAAAGCAAAATTAAATGACTAAAGAGAGATGTGATTATAGAGATTTTTTAATTAGTAACTAAAAACTTAAAAAAGATAACTATAAAAAAAAGATAACTACAAAGAGATGTAATTATAGAAAGTTCTAACTATATTTAAAAAAATATAATTAACAATAAAATATTATTTGTCATTTTATTTTAATTTATAATTATTATATATATTAAGATATTTATAATATAAAAAATTATTCAAATATTTTAAATAATTCAAAAAAGCAATAACTATTCAAATATTCTTGATCAAAAAATTCAATTATTAAAATTTTATAATAAATATATTATATTTAATAATATAAATTTAATCGTATTATTTTACTTCATCAAGTAAACAAAGATTTAAAGTTTCAAGAATAAAAATATTATCATAAACAATTTATTTACTAATTCAATGATCAAAATTTTTTAATTCAACTTTCTTGAACAAGTGAGATATTTATCAAAAGAAAAAGGAAGAAAAAAATTTCTAAAAAGTAACGAACTTCTTGAAAAAAATTTATAATTAATGCCAGTAACTGACTGATTAATTGTTGTTAGTTTAATAAAAATTAAATGAACATAGCAAATATATATAGAAAATATAAAAAATTCATATAGATATATAATATATACAGAAATACAGTAAATAAACAAAAAAAATATTAAAGACTCAACCCGCAGATATAAGTGTATGCACTTGAATAATAGATGAATGCTCTGCCAAAGAAATAACTATTAATAACACTATTTCTCTAATGAAAGGAATTAAATCCAATAATATAATTCCAAGAATCGTGGACGTAAATTATCGATTGATGGGTTGAATAATTAATGGATGAATGTATCAAATGTTCTTAAACATTGTCTGTCTTTTTTCAGCTCTTATCTTGCGACGTTGTTGTATCTCCATGATATGCGTTTCACAATATTGCTTATTGTCAAAACTGTAATAAGTATCGGTAAGTGGGACACGACATACCTATTATTTATTATAAAAGAAATCTCAGATTAATACATGCTTATTCACGCTATTATTTATTTAAAAAAAGCTTTGAATAAAAAGTTAACTCACATAA